TCGCTGGATAACTCAGAGAGCATAAAGATGGAAAGCGAGCTCAACCAACAACATGATCAACTTTGAAAAAACTACTACGGTCCATTTCGAAGATGTTATGCCCATAACATTTTGTATGTTGTAGATTTGGATGTCTATTTTCCAACAACCATTTGCAATTTGGAGGCCTCTAGCTCAAGATACTATTTCTTTTGCCGGAACTATACAAATCTGAAAGTTACTGCAGCTAGGTAGATTTTGAGAATTTTCTATTCCCATCTCGAAAGGAGTTCTGGCATAAAATTCATATGTTGCAGCTCTATGATTCTACTTTCTAACCGCGCAAACAGATTGCAATTTGGAGCCTCCTAGCTCGAGATATGATTTTTTTCGACAGGGGTGCACAAAGATGGATTGCAAGTACGACAGATATCATGAGCAATTTTAGAATATTATTGCAGCCATTATGACGGGATTCCTGCCATGAAATTTTCAGGTGTGATAGGTGTCAGAGCTTTCTTTACAATGGCAAAAACGGATCGCGATTCAGACACTCCTAGCTCGAGATATCAATCTTTTGGCGAGACTGTGCAATGCTGTAAAGTTAAAATGCTGGACACGTTTATCAGCTTCAAAATATATTGCGGCTAATCCTCAAGGAATTTGGTGCTAAATTTTTTATGTGTTCCAGCCTCTCGAGTTATGATTATTTAGGAAGAAGCGGCTTTGGATTTCATCGATCCTGCATCGAGAAATAAATATTTTTGCAGAGACGCACTAAGTGCTTGCTCGCCAAAGTTGGAAATGCCTACTCTAGTTGTCTTCCTCGTCAACCTGCAATGATGCAATGTGGTACATGTTGGCTTGCCAATGATGAAATATTGTCTCTCCAAGCCTCCAAGAGTAGGAATTTTGTCTCCAAGGTTGAAAGGACACTTCATATGCCTCTTCTGTGCCAATCCGCAAGGATGAGATGTGCCACGTGCTCGCTTGTCAAGGATGAAGTACGGTCGCCGCAAGCCTCTTTCTCACCAAGCCTCAAGCAGGAAACGCTTCACCTAGCCTTCTTTGACAAATTGCAAGAATGGAGTGTTTCGTCACTTCTTCAATAAAACTGGAACTGAAAATTTATATGGTACGTCTTTGGCCAAGTATAAGAAGGAGATGGTCCATGTGTTTGCTCGTCAAACAACAAGAAGATGAGGTTCTCCATAAAGTTCTCTTGCCAATGCTACAAAAATAAAACAAAAAGATGATAGAGAACGGAGATCACAGTGCTAATTGCACGAAGCTTCTTGGTTCTACGGGGATCAGTGCCAATTGCACGAAGCTCCCGATTCAGCAGCAAGCACATCGGTGCCAACGACATGAAGCTTGAAACAATAGCCAAGTTTAATATCAAAACATCCATCTAAATTGTTGAAGGTTTGCAGATTCGAACTTCTTTTCTTGGTGATGCCAATTCCTGAAGAAAAAAAACGTGATAAGGAATATAGGAAAAAAGATATGCGAGAGAAAGGAATTATAAATGGGAAGGGTTTTGTGTATCTTCTCTCATGGTTAGCCGAACTTCTCGAATTGCAAGTTTGTACTCTTATGTGTCTGAGGTCCAACTCTTGTACTATTTATAGAGCTTATGAGACGGTGGTGTCTTACTTGGTGTACACGACTTCCTTATTAAATAAAAAGAGAATTTTTAGTTAATTACAAAGTCTCTTATTCTTTGAAGAAAAGGATTCCGAGACGTATTTGAATCCAATAAAACATTGTATTGGGTGAACTAATTTTGGTAAGGGCTAGTGGTGTATGTCAAATTAGATGAAGGAAATTTGATTGGAGTAATAACTCAAGTGGGCTAAGATTATTACCAAATTTGATATATTGTCCTACGCGGCATATTTTTACATGTTGTAAAGTTGATTCTCTTTGACTAAGTCCAAACTGTCTGACAAGGAAAAGCTACGAAACTTTGTGTCCAAATTAAAGATGCAACACCAGTTATTTAACTAGAATCTGCTTGACACTATAATTATGTGGTTTCACATATTGCTCAACCAAAGTGCATGAGCAAGTTTTATTGTTAGGAGACTAAGAAAATTATTGTCTTCACTGGTACTTCAAGCCTCGTCGCTAAGGCCCATCAAGTCTACACCTCGACAAATCTTGAAGTAGGGGGCATCTGTAGACATATAAAATTTATTGGGTTTAATCAATACAAAATATGGTTTAAATTCAATTGGGTTAAATAACTAATTTGGGCTTTACAAGTTAAATTAGTCTATTTTATTATTTTCTAGCCCAATGTTCTCTTCATCTTAAGGCCCACACTCGTATCATGTGTCAAGTGACATGACATATCCAGTCAAATCCAAAGCTAACAAGATAATGTCACGTGTTAAATGATGTGGCAGTCCAAGTCAAAAAGTAAGAACTAACCACAGGTCGCCAAATGGCAAAAATGACATGGGCCAATCAGAATCAAACAAGAGAGTTTATATGTAGCTAGACTTTCCATCCCTTACACCTATAAATGGAGGGGTTACATAACTCTCAGGGGACATTCAGAGTTGGAGAAGAACACTCCGCAATTGGTGAACATCCACAAACAGAGAGATCAATCATTAAGTGCTTAGTTCTTTAACAAAGGAGTGATCAACAGAGTTATTCCCGGAGATTAACCCGTAACAAAAAAGTGCTGCTCGACGTTCTCGGCGATTAAATACATCACATGGAGGTCTGCATCATCCTACATTCAAGAAATATGCTTCTCAAGCCATCGAATCACGGAGAATTTTAGAGAGGAGAATCAAGGGATACATAGAATTGTACTCACAAATATTAATCAATAAAATCACTTTTTCTTTATATTATTTTTATTGCAGTTTATTTTTTGTATTACAAAAATTTGTTGCGAACACTCACTTATGCAAGAAGATTTTAAAAACTCTGAAGTTATTACTCCAGCCTCTAGCTCAAATATTTTACTCCAGTTTCGATACAGATTTAAACTATTTAATTTAAAAAGAGAATTAAAAAAATATTATTTATTCATAAAATTTGATCAACTTTTGAAAAAATTGATAAAAATTAAGTTTCAGAACTTATTTGGGCCAGTTTTGGGGTGATTTTTTTGGGGCATCTGCATCTATACCCGCTTTTTGGGTCACGTTTTAATTTGTGCCCTCTTTGCAATAAAAATTGCAAACGTACCCACTTTTTCGCGTAACTTTAGCATACGGGGTTGAAGTAGCAAAGACAATCACACAAAACTTCAGCATTCTAGTAGACGGGCCTGAAGTAGCAAGTGTGCTGAAGTTTTTGCTTGTAATTGTTGAACTTAAGCATAGTAGTTGAAGTTTTGTTCTCTATTTACTGAAGTTTTTGTTTGTAATTGCTGAACTTAAGCATAGTAGCTGAAGTTTTGTTCTCTATTTGTTGAAGTTTTTGTTTGTAATTGCACTAAATAAGCTGAAGTTTTTTGGTCTGGATTCATTAGTTTTGTCATTAAGCTTTTTCAAAAACTTCAGCAGAAGATGCTGAAGTTATTTAGTTCATTTATAAAAACTTTAGCACTAAATAAGTTGAAGTTTTTTTGTCCTGGATAAGCTTTTTCAAAAACTTCAGCAGAAGATGCTGAAGTTATTTAGTTCATTTATAAAAACTTTAGCACTAAATAAGTTGAAGTTTTTTTGTCCTGGATAAGCTTTTTCAAAAACTTCAGCAGAAGATGCTGAAGTTATTTAGTTCATTTCTAAAAACTTCAGCACTAAAAGCTGAAGTTTTGTATCCATTTTAAAAGCACAAATTGCATTGATATGGACAAGTATAACATTAACCAGTTTTTACATCAAAAAAAATTTCAATAGCCAACGAGTTGTGAGGAACAATCAAGAATTCAACTTTTGGAATCAAAATTAACCAACGTACAGAGGAACCGTGTCCTTTAAATAGTTTTGTTTTGCTTTGCCTGTGATCCTGATGAATTGTTTTTGAGTTCCGATGCACCAGGACATATCCAAAAAGGGAACTGTGATAAAGACAAGTACACACATGGCTAAAGCAGAAAAATAAATTTCCAATGATGCTACACGAAGTTATCAAAACTTAAGCTTCCATCCGCCAGAAAGTTCACAATTACAATTGTACAGTTGCTTTAGCAGCACCAACAACAATAGAAGAAAGAAGAAGAAGAAGAAAACGAACGAGGAAGAGAAAGGGAGTTGGAGTTGTTTTAAAAGTGGGTACAAATTAAAACTTTTTTAAAAAATGGGTATAGGTTAAATGGGGGCGACCAAATAAGGCGCCCCGTGCAATTTTACGATTTTTTTCTACTCACCAAATTTTAATATATTTTCAAGTAAAATACATGTCTAAACACAACTTATAACTTTTAAAGATTGTTTTTCACTAATTTTCAATTTTTTTTTTCATTTTCAATCAACATTTATGTCCAAACGTGACCTATAAGAACCGAATTTAAATTAGTTGAATTAATGTTTGATGATAAAAAAAAAAAGATTTTCGTTTTCCGTTGGAATGAAATAGAAGGGAGGGGGG